CATTTGAATCTGGTCCAAAAAAATTCTGCTTTGTTGTAATAAACTATCTACAAAAGAGAAGATTTAGACAAATTCAAATATTTTTAAATGTTTTGATTTCTGATGTTCTGCCTGAAGCTGAAACGAAATTTCACTTTTACATGTAAGTAAAAGACATTTTAAATTGTCAAAATAAAAGTGAAATCACCCACTTCTATAAAAGAGGTTTTTTGACAACCATTTTGGCATTCAACAGCTTTCAACACCATTAATCATCGCCTCCCACAGTCGAATTACAAATTTCAAAAAGTAGCAGGGAGAAGCATCATCTTTGGTTATACTCATGTTATAATTAAAGAGCAATGGAAGCATTCACAAATGGAAGCACCTTGACTGTCAGGGAAAACCAATGGGAAAGTGAAAAGTCAAAGCGCCAGGGAAGGACTTGTGAAGCATGAGAGATGTAAAAACAGATTTGTAAAAGAATGAAAAGGTTGTCACATATGTAAAGCCTTTTTACTTCACTTAGTAAACAAGAAAATGTTTTTATGGCTTTGTGGTCTCATTATAAAATAAAAATGAATAACTTTGAAATTATCAGACAATTTTGACTGCTTCTATGAATTTCCCTTTCACATTCCTTTTTCTTTCACATTTTTCAACCTTTTTCTATTGGAGTTTGAGGCACTGATCTTTAATCTCAATCTATGATATAAAATTGTCTTCAAAGTTAAACAAGTTTTCCTGTGAAAAGGAAACGACTTTCTACCCACTTCTACATTTCAGCTCTTGAAACCTTCGCAAAAATGCAAACATTACTAAGGAGACCACAAAGGTCACTATGAACACCCCACAATACATTCTTCTCTAAATGAGGCCAGCCTGCTCTTTTATAATATCACAGACAGTTATACACCAACTGCTTTATTGCTCCTTATTGCTTAAGTTTCCAGAATATGTCCATAACTACAACAACTACAGGTATTTCTTTCTAAAATTTGCAATTAGATACTTTGAGAAATGTAGAACTATTGTTTTATTATATAATACTTATTGCATAATTTAAAAGCTATCCATAGTTTATATTTTATTCTTGCCAAATATCTACTATTGTCTTATAGAGTATATCACAGAATCTGCATCAGTAGTCTATTTACAATATTTTGATTTAATGTTAAGCTGTTGTCATCTACTTAGTTGGTTATTAGATACTGTAGACTTGGTTCTGTAGGGAAAACCACTATTAAGACAATGACAGTTACTACATATATATTAAGTAACTTTGATTCTAGTTCCATAATGTGCAATCTAATTTCTGACCCAAAACTAAAACTGTTCCAGATTCACAAATAAGGGAAAGGATGACTCTCACAGTTTAGGAGCAAGTATGAAAGCTGCCCACATACAGAGAAGCTGTGAAATACTTTGGGAACTTCTGAAAGACTTAGCTGACATCTAGCGGGAGGAAAAGGAAAAGTTAAAAATTCAACAGTGAAGAACAGAAATAGTTTGTCCTAAAAATATCTCAATCTTTTATAAATAATAGGTGAAAAATTCAAGAAATGCTTTGAAAAAGCAGCTAGTAAATGTAGTTAAAGGAAACGGGTAAAAAATATGTATTTATTTGTATAAATTACCCTTTCTAAAGATTATCCTCAAGTGGATGATTCAGTTCAATTATATGCATAAATAAACTCATTAAGAAATGTTATGAGTTATGCTGATTGTTATGCAATATAATATGGCACAGATTCATTAATAATTGACTTGGTGTAATAAATTTTGTAATCTTAATTAATATACACACTACATGACATCAAAAAAAGGAACAAAGCTTTAAGTTACTGTGATAATATAAAGATGGCAACATAAAGATGGCAACATAATATATGGGACTTACTGCCATTCACTCTCTCTAGCCAGTGATTGTTTTACATCCTTCAAGTCTGCTGTATTTTTTGCAACTTCAACTGTCTACAGAATCAGCACCAACCCTTTCAGCCTGATGGTATCAGTAAAGCCCTGGTTCTAGCCTGGGTATTCCATTTGAAGTTCACAGGAAATGAACTTAGCAATAACAAATCTTAAAGAATAATAATCCATTAAGAACTTCATTCATATAGTCAAGGAGAAAAATAACTTCCGAAAGAAACAGCACAGAAGTATAGGACACTTCCCATTGCTAAAGAGCAAAGAGATCTCTCACTATATGGGACTTCAAGGGACAAATTCTGGATAACTTTGCTTGCTTTCACCTCCAGAGGACAGCTTAAAATTTTTTTGAGAACCTTCTCCTACACGTACCCTCCAGGGCTCCTTAAAATTTTTCTAGGCATTTTAGGAATAACAAAGAATAGAGGTCTCACTCCTAATCTTTTACAGAGAAGGTATGATGATCAATCTTCTTCATAAATTCAAGACATGGGTTTTGGAGCATTTGCAAAATAGCTGGTTCAGAGAAATTTCTGGCTGTAGGTTCCTTCAGTGCATAGTACAAAATCACATTTAACTCAAGCACTTCTAATAGTTGGAATATCTACTACCATATTTTTCTGTTATACCCTTAAATAACAAAATGCAACAAGTGATTACATTAAATGATGACACAATTTTACTTCTTTATACATTCCCATATGAAATTTTATAATGTAAAGTTCCAAATGTTCAGCAGCATGTAGTAATTCATGTTTTTTTAATCTTAGAACATACCTTTTCCCTTCCTCCAAGTAATTAAAAGCCACAAGAGAAAGAATATACAATGTCTGGTCTTCTCTAATGCATTCTATTTCACCAGTGCAAATGCTGGTAACATAGAGAATGAACAAAAATCATGTCCCTTTGCTGTTATATTCTGACTGAATTGATTTCAGGGAAAAGCAATAATTTTTAAATTAATCACAACATCCAGAAAAACTCCTTTAAAATTAAAGACAAAATAAAGGCTAAAAACAGAGATTCGGAGAAAAAATAATTGTTCTTTAAAATATTCGAACATCAGGGACACAGGAGAAAGAAGCTCTTAAAGCAAACATGCTATAAAAGACGGGGAAAAGTTTGAAATTACACCCTTTCATTTAGAAAACTACTAAAACTTAGAAGCAGAACTAACAATTTATGATTTACCAAAACATCAGGACCACATAGAAGCATTTAACCCTCAGATTTCACTCACTATAAAAAATAACATGCTGCAGTAAGATTTTACATTCTCTTCACAAAATTAGTAATTCAGTGTTGATCTTCTTTGGACACAGGACATAGTAAGAATACAGGAATTCAGTATTTTCAGCCTAAATGTTTTTTAGATTATTAGTCTGGCAGTACACAGAAATTTTCACATGGCATTCTCCATGTTCCAGAGAAATAAACAGCTCCAGACCAACTGTACAAACGAAATGAATGCATCTATGATGGGTCATATTCTAGTACAAGCAATTCATTGTCAAGGGCATACAGAAAAACACTTACTCAGATGGCACAGCATTCAGAAGTCACAGAAGCAAGTGATACTATAATTTATTCATCAGTACTATACGCCATAACCTGCGTGCAGACTCTGTTTCAGGAAACCTTTAAAACACTTATTGCTGGAAATGGTATACTAGGGAAACATTTCTCAGTAATTTAGTCAGTATTTATCTTTTATGAACCTGATGCCTTACACCAGACTGGGCCGAGGTCCAAAAATCAAGCAGTACACTGTTAAGGAAGGGGCATAGAGCAGTGGTACAAGAAGCAACAAAGAAGAGACAATGAAGACACTCAGACTTGCTAAAAAACCGAAATCAAAACAAAAAGCACCATACAGGAAGAAAGCATTACACTTACACTCTATATTTCTTATATGTGTGCTAGCTTGCGTTTCCATGTGCTGAATTTTAAGAGATGCTGCATGCATCAGAGATTCTTTGTCTGTCCTGTCCACTCATTTGTAAATTTGTGGGTTTCCATTCTATTTGCTTATCCTGTCCACTCATCAAGCCGCTACCGTCATTCCACCCCTGTCTACTCAAAGACCTCACTGAGCTTTTTCAACTTCATAGGTTTTACGTCCACTATGTCCTGGCCTCTATACAGACATAAAGATATAAACACTCTGTGTAATACAAACACTGTACTTGTACTAGCCCAATGATTGCTATATGTGATCTGCCAAATGACATGGTCAATATATCAATATACTGGATTATCAGACTTCCTCTGTTAGTAAATTTGTGGGTTTCCATTCTATTTGCTTTGATGATGACAAAGAAAATATGGAATGTTTTGTACTTGGTGACTTCTATACCAGGGATTTCACACACAGACCTGTATTAGAACACAGTGCAGCTATGCTTAAGAATACATCACAACTGGCAAGAAAAGGAAGATGTTGTTAATTTTTCTTTATGCTAGGACCGCTCAATAAATTCACTGTAAGTTATACTGTCCTTTAAGTTCCTGCTTTTATGATAAAAAACTTCCTGTAATATTTCACTTTGCCTAATAGAGTCTATCATGCCATGGGAAAGTGAGATCTAATATTAAATTCTGCTATTTCTGCTTTTGACAATTACACAGCTGGTCAAGTTTACACCTACAAAACCAGACATCAGTATAGACTGTTCAATACAAAATTTCAGTCTCACAAATGGAATGCTTATTTTTCAGTCCAAAAATACAGAAAATTGCTTCTACAGAAGCATGTTTCACTGAGAAAGAGTGAGGAGTTAAATGCCAGTGCCTTAATACAATACGCAAATGTAAAAGTACTGCACTGCTGAGGTAGAGCAAAGAATTTAAAGAGTACAACAATAAGCAAAACTACAATGGGGAAACATGTAAAACTACTTTTTGCTGTCATACATGAGTGCATGTATAGATTTTAACTGGATTAATTTTAACTGAGTCAGCAGTCAACTGAAAACAACTTTTAGAAAGAAACAAATTCTTAACATTTGATGGAAAGTATGCTTGTACTACTTAAACCTGCAAAATACACTTGAGTCTGGGAAAGAAAAAAATTCATTACAAAACTATACCTTTAATGTTTCAATTTCTTCTTTGTGTTCCCTCTTTAAATGCAAAATGGCAGCTTGGTACTCTGTAAAAATAAAAATGTACATTCCATTAGAGTCAGCAACCAATGTGCCATCCTCAGCATAGTATATTTTATACAACTCCACTGGGACAGAATGCAGATGTACTCTCAAATAAAAGACCTTTTACAATGGTGATGGAAAAGAAAATCTAAGCACAGTAATTAGCATCATTTTTTAAGACCACATTGACCACATTTTCCATGGTGTTTCTGAGAGCAGAGGATAAATCAAAGTCTTCCATGCTGAGAGGGGAAAACAGGGGGAAGATATATCAGATTGAAATAACAAGAGGAAACTTTAGTTTTGCTTAGTTTTGCAGATAAATGTAGAGATGATAAGATATTATCACATACACATGCATGTACACACACCCCCCTGAATTCTAATAAAACATGCATTAAATACAATGATTTAAACTGAGCTGTAAACATACAATCACTATACACAGGAAAATTGGATAAAAGAGCAATCACAAATACAAATGAAGACCTGGAAAAGTACCCAACAGCAAGAGATACAAAGAATTCTTTGTCTTAATTCTATCAGATGAAGATTAATTACAGGATTTAAGTACCTTCACCGGGTACGAAATAGCTCTTCCATTTAGCAAGAATATAACAAAATCCAAAGGTATAACAAAAATGAAAGCCTGAAACTTAAAGCCAGAGAAATTTAAATCAGCAATGAAAAAATTAGGAGGATGGGTATTGATTACACAGGTTCAGTGATGGCTGTAATGTTAAGGTGCAGATTTACCAAATGAACCTCTAGAACCCAAATCTCAAGCTAACGTAGCCCCTCAGTCTATATGATGGCTGCATTTGGCTAGACAAAAAAAGATAAGACCTTTCATTACAGCTGTGTAATGATTTAAGAGAAGCCTGTCTTCTGTAAGACATTGGCCCAGGAGCTACAGCTCTCCTAAACAAGCAACTGGAGTTCATTCTTAGACCATCAAAGCCCCACTTCAATCTGTTTCCAAATCAAAATTCATCCAAAAGTGTATTTCCAGTTCCCTGGCTTGGCTTCTGCTTCCTCAACTAGAAAAGGAATCAAATACTAATTTAAACAAGGATTGAAAATAGTCCAAAGACTTCAAAACATCTTCAATCTTCTTTAACAGCAATGAGTCTGTATGGTCCTTGGACCAGTAGAACCAATAATACAGCATTGGAACATCAAAGCATGGACCAAAGCACCAGATCAGTAAAATATTCCAGAAAAATATTCTTTTTCTTCTTTTAATCTTTTTTTCCTCTTGAGAGCGCATGGAGGAAAGATGAAAGATAACCTGGTCATGGTAAAGATAATCTGGACGGGGAAGCCTTTAATTAATGCAAAGCTATTTTTTTCAAACACAGATGAAGCTATATGCAAGCAACTGTATTGATATACAAAATCAAAAGAAAAAGGGATTTATATTTTTCAAAACACAAACAAAATGTGTTGTAATAGCATGTATCTAAACTACTCCTTCCTCTCTCAAGGGGTTCTACTTTGAGCTTTCCAGCATGGGAAAATCTGCTCTGCTGGAATCACAACCGGTTAGGTTTATGGACTTTTAGATTTTCTGTTGTTAATAACTTTGGTTGATATTCCCCCTGGATACTCTGTTTATTCATTCACCTCAACAGGACTTAACAAAAGAGTTGCCTCAGGTGCTTAGAAAAAGTTGTGACCCTTCTGGCACCTCAGACGGTTAAGCACTCAAGTTTGCAGGGCATGAACCTTATGAACGTCCTGACTTTAAGTTTAGCTCTTTAAGATCACATGATAACTGAAGCAAACAACAGGCTTTGATAATGCTGCTAACAATCAGTTCTTAGTTTGGCTAACAGAAGGATACAGATCTATCGGCCTATCGTAACAGAAGATCTACTTTCTATGTGGGATTGTTCAATGCTTGATATTCTTTGGGATTTGGGTAAGAGAGTCATAGTTCACACATGCTGATACAGAACTGCACTGGCACCAAAAGCAGGTTTTTCACCATGTCTACCCATTCCCAACCCTCTGATGCTTATTTTCTTATCTTATTTTCTTATCTTGGCACAAATGTTTGTACAGTCAGAGAATGAAACCTAACGCAGCATAAAAATGTTTAAAAAGTTTTTAAAAATTAAGTATATGTAATTTTTGTGACAGACATTTTACAAGACAGCATCATTTTAAGTTGGCATGTGTTTTTAATTACTTCTCCTAGCTGAAAGCTCAAAAATAAGTTCTAGACATTGCTTTGTTTAATCTTTGTTGTACAGCAGAGGTAAGAGACAGAGTAGCAATTCTCTTATGGTTTACTCATTCCTTAAAATATACTTAGAAAGTACTAGATTAAAGGAATTACTAGACCTAACTCATTACCTAAAATACTGGTACTGCATAAGAGAAAATGTATTGTAAATACATATACTGTAAATTATTTAATAGATTGTCTACTACACCATAAACTGACATTCTACAGCATAAGCTTCTGCTTCTTTCTACCATTGTAATTCTTTTTTAAGTAGAAGAAACTATTGGATCAAAGCTGACAACCAGCAAAGTACCTTTTTAATTCTTCTCAAGCAAATATTTGTTTTTGTGTGTAAGATATAATGAAAAAAGAAATCACAACACAATTACAGTTTTGTATAGTACAAAGTAACTTATGTCCATTCCTTTCATATTTTTGGTGAAGTCACCTTAATTTGGTATAATTCTACATGGATAGTTAACATACCAAGAAAGCATCCTGCACACAGAGATAGCAATCTGAATCTTTAAAACACTGAAGAATTTGACTAGAAAAAATAATTGCATCCATGTAATTCCAAAAATTAGTTTCCAAACATAATGGCAACAGAATAATAAAGTTTAATTACACAATGGTGTTCAGATGCTGCTTCGGATGGTGCTGTAAAATCACAACAGCAAAGCAAACAGTAATGACATGTCAGTGGAAGGAACTGTACTGTGAACAAAATACAGGTCAGGCTTTATAAACTGCTGAGTTCTTAGATTCCATTTAACTCACAAAACAGATTCATCTAGACTACAGAAACAATCCAGAAATACTGTAAACTCTAAATTACAGTGATTTTTCTAGGTTACAAATTAACTATGCCAGAGTTTAAGAAATCAGTGGGTAGCCAGCCTGATTCATGCATAATAACTGTAACTCATAGAGACTTATTAGTTAAGACACATGAAGGTATGTGGATAGTTCTCATGGCCAGCTGAGGTACAAAGTTGCAACTGAACCGTACCATCTCTCACTTAGTGGTGCTGCAACACCTTAAGGACCTTCAAGACTGACACGGAAATAAAGCCTCTCATCACAGAACCACAGAATGGCTGAGGTTGGGGGGGCTGTATTTTCTGAGGTTTAAAAGTCTTTCATTAAGCTGGATAACAGAAGGCCGATTATACAAACATCCCGTTGTACTTGCCTGGTCTCCAAACAGCCTGCCGGGAAGACAGTGGCTATAGGGCATACATAAGTCAGCTATCCCTAATGCAGATATTAGTCTGAAGGGCTTTTGATAGAAACAAATTGGATAAAAATCAGATAGCAAGTGCTCCAATCCTGAAAAATGACCACAGGCAAATTAGGATTTCATTACTGAGAAAAGAATTAAAAATGTTATCCCTTTACATATGGCAAGCAGGCAAAAAAGTAAACAATCTCCCTGCATAGATTCAGCTCCAACCAGCTCTAACTCTAAATTTTCATTTACTACTTCTAATTTACTACTTTTTCCTTTGTTTTGAGAGGACTCCATCCCAAGAAAATTTTAATAAATAATGGAATTTGTTGCCCATTTGGGCATACTCTTTATTTATACAACTTCATTTGATAATTATAACCCACTACAGCTAAAGCAAACTTTTATAAAATTGGATGCTTTTTTCTAAGATAGTGAGATAAAGCAGATATACATTATAAAGTCTTAAATAAATACAAATATTTGTTACATCTGCTAGTAGTTAGCAATGTATTTTAAAATACCAGATTAGTGAAAAACGTTTCACTAAAACACTTTTTTTTTTTAAAGTAACATGAATGTTGGCAAAGTGTACGGGAAGCCAGATAAAGGCATTGATGAAAACTAAAGCTACACAGTAATGTGACAGTACAAGATTTTCCTTCTCTATGTCATTGTTGGAAAAATAAATCAGTAATTAAAAACAAAACAAAAAAAAAAACCAACAAGTATCTCCTTACTGTGAAACTTAAATTTCCATTTACTCCTGTGTTTTACCCTAGTTGGTAGGTAAGACAGGTAACTAATGCAGTCTTGCTAATCATACAGATTGATCAGACAGATCAAAACTCTACTTTAACCTGATTGTCATGAAAACAATAATAATGAAAAAATAACCTTTTTCTCTACCACCACTACCGCTTTTCTGCATTTTCATCCTTTATTTTCGTACTTTCTTCCTCTAGGACTTGCCATATGTATCACATCGAAGCAGGACAGAGAGATGCCTTTTCCAAGTTCTGACTTCTATCCAGATCATTTCAGGGGAATATTTATTACCCATTGAAGGTACCCAAGGGTTATCCAGTCAAACAGATTTTACAGAAAAACTGTACTAATGCATAATAGCAGAAAAAATAGCTACATAAGTAAAATAAAATACCTAGTTTGGGAAGATAAGCTCACTGTAGACCATTAAATGAGAAGGATACTGGAAAAAGGAGCTGATGTTCTTACCAGAAACTGATTCAATTTCCAGAACACACTCCAAAGTGCAGTGAATTAAGCAAAAACTTCTTACTTTGGGATTATCCATGTCACATATTCCTAATTTACAGAGGTTTGGGAACATAATGCAAAGTCTATTTTTGTTCCTATTTCTACAGACCCCTGAAGAGGTAAACTGAGAACTGCCACAGCGCAGAGCAGTGTGACTGTGAAATAGAAATTGTTCTGTTTTATAGAGTACAAAATTACATCTCTGTTGAGACAAGCCAAAAGCCTATTTTGCCTAGTACTCTGTCTCAGTAGCCAAAAAG